CATGCTCACACCATTGCCGTAGGCCACGGTTCACAGCATTGCCCTAGGCCACGGGCTCACAGCATTGCCCTAGGCCACGGGCTCACAGCATTGCCCTAGGCCGTATGCATAGGTGACACACAAGCACGTAGGCCATGGACAATCGGGGCCCTTAGTGCATGTCCAAGTGGACATGCACTAAGGGCTTAGCCCACCGGCACATACCACTGGCAGAGACCATAAGGGCAGCTGATCCACACACATCACAGGTATAGATAATCAAATATCAGGGGGTAGCCGTGTTAGTCTGTATCCACAAAAACAACAAGGAGTCCGGTGTAAAGACTTACAGGTATAGATAATGGGCATTGTCAACATTGGGAGGCTGTGTCAAGTGGGGTCCTGCAGGGGTCTGTTCTGGCTCCAGCACTGGCCAGTGTTTTCACTAAGGACTCACAGAGCAGAGGGGAGACACAACCAAAGCAAAGAGGGCTTGCAGGAGCCTGGGGCACATTGTTAACTCCTGCGGGGCCACACTGGGATGCTAATGCTTCACAGAGAGGGGCTTTGTCCCCCTGACTGCTCCCGAGTTAGCTCTTGCCAAGCGCATTCAATTACCAGTCAGTACAAAGCTGCAAGGTCGTTGAAGGGGCTGGAACTGTCCGGGGAGATGTAAGAAGAGCTGCAAGGATGGTAGGCGTAGGGGAGGCTAATGGCTTGGCTGTTGTGATACAGATGAGGAGCTATAAAAGATAGTAGCCGGACACCAGCAGTGGGACTCAGTCCCAAAGGACGTGATATTCCAGGCATTCCATTGCTTACATAAAAAATGCATATGCAGGTGCATGTGTAGTCTGTATGCGCAGTTAACCAGGACTGTACAATGGCTGGTTGTACATCAACTCCCCCTCCCCGCCACATACACATACAGCTGCCTGACTCTGACCCCACACTGGTGTAGTAATAGCCTGCTCAAATTAGGCTTGCAGAGGCAATTGTGCCCCTCAGGCTTTGACACGGATGGATTGTGTTAGCAGGAAGAGCTGAGACAAACAAATGATGGCGTTATTTCCTCCCTATCTTTAATGTCACATGATCCCGATCCACCCAATCCTAGACCAGCACTGACTCCTCTCACAATGGGGCCGCTCTACAAGCTCACACTCAGCTGCTGTTCCTCCCTGGTTCTTTCCCAGCCTCGTTGCTCTGTGGATAGCTGGTCCCTTCCCACATTTGTCTCTGTGCCACTTCTTCCTCTGCCAAGGCGGATGGCCTCACATGGCTGTACTGAACCTCAGGCACCCTCAGTGCTGATCTCCTGAGCTCCCTTTGCTGCTGGCTTCCCCTTCCCCTGCATTTGCTATGGCTGATTTGGGCATCAGAGGCAAAGCTGGTGAATTTCACCTTCCCCTAGCCTGTCAAGGAGAATATTAAGTGATGGGAGTCCGAGCACTGACTCTTGAGGTTCCCTCCCTTGATACTGCTCCCCGCTCAGAGGTCTCCCCTTTAACAGTTACTCTCTGCTCCCTGTTCATCAGCCAGCTGCTAATACAAGCAACAATCGTTTGATCTGCTGGGCCTTTTTCCAACATCTGTGTCTTTTAGGTGGCTCTGCAAGGCATTTCTGGGGTTTGGGGATCCATATCGCACCTTCCACAGGGATCAAGGTGTTGCACAACACCACAGCCAGCAGAGCCAATTGGGGAATCCCAAAAGCTCTCTGCAGAGTTCACTGCAAGCACCCCAAATATTGTGCCCCAGCAACATGGCGACTCAGAGCCCCTCTGCCCTGCGCTAGCTTGAGGCAAAGAAAAGGGAATTCTACCAGACCATTGGAAATGGTGCCATCAAAGCAACGTAGCCCCAGGCAAGAAGAGAGGGCAACTGTCCATTCGTAAGAAGGGACGTTAATGCCAACCACGTCTTGGGAGTATAACGGGGAAGTCAGGAAGTGTCTTAAACAGAAGTAAGAGACTCGTGAACTCATCTCTCAGCACACGGAGTCCCTCACACACAGGGCATAATGTGGAAATGATGGTTCTGTAGGAGAGGAAAACTCACCAACAATACCCTGTCTGGAGTGTCAAGCTCATGGTGCTCAAGCCAGAAAGTGCCCAATGCCTCCATTGCCACCTAGAGAATTCTGGACTGTGAAGATCCTGGAATCAGATGAAGCCTACAGGGATCAGGGAATTGATTTACTGTGAGAAACTATGCATAAGTTGGGGAATCACTATAACATGGCCAGGACCATCTTCAGGGCATGTGGGGATAGGGAGCCAAATGTCAGAAACAGGAACAACATCTCAGCTTTGTCCATAAAAAATGTTGATGTATCCAGTTAGGGAAACGGAGCCACATCCATTGCTAGGATAATCAGGCGCAGCTCCATTGGGATCAATTGATTACACCTATGGGGAATTTGGCCCCTTACCGCGTGAGCAAAATGGCATGAAAAGGGAAGCCAGGTCCACCACCCAGATCACTGGGATGGAAATCTGGCCATTGTCCACATAAGAGGTGAAGCACAAAAGCCTTTAGCTTTGTGACAGCACTGAGTGGATGTAGGTACAAGAAAGCCGCAACAGAGCAGAATAGAATTCTGTGTTTCTCATGGCCACTGGGAGATCCAGGGAAGTTCCAGACTCCTATCTAGCAATGTGTGTGATACTGATTCGGACAGTGGAGAGTGCGCCCCACAGGTTGGGTTCAGATAGACACCTAACATTTTTTAAGCTTGTGCAGATGTTTCTCAGCATCTTCTGCATAAATTCCCAGTGTGCGGACTCCCTTGTGTGATTTCCATTATTGCCTGCTCTTGGCCAAGCCATGAATACTGCAGCAACAGTCTGTCTTTGGAGCTTTCATTCCTGAAAATCAGTGTGTGAACAACATTCAGCCCATTGAAGGCTGAGCAGCCCAGGGAGATATACTCTCCTCATATCTCCAGCCTGACTCGGTCTGCATTATTTCAGCTGTGCCAGGATATAGTCTCAGCCACCTCCACGTTATCTAGTCATGGATTTCAAGCATGTTCCTCACGGAATCTGGAGAGGCAAATATCAGTATGTATCTAGAGAGAGAGCTGGGTATTATCAGCATAGCAGTGAAATCCCAGACCATAGACGATACGTATCCTTCCAAGAAGCTGCATCTGAAGAGCATTGGAGACAATCCACAGACGTGGAGAACAGAGCACATTATCCCAGTACAGCCTGGTGAGTATCCACCCAGAGATACCATACCAATTGGGACAGCTCCCTAAGACACAACTGGTACCAGTCCTGTGCATTCCCAGTGTTGTTCCACTAATCATCTAGGTGAGGCAGTAGCATCAACTATCCACAATATCCACATCTGCCCATAGATCTAATAACACCAGCAAGGACAGCTCTGTGTTTGCAAAGCGGTGAGTAAATCATCCCTGACACTAGCAA